GAGAAGTTTGTGGTGAATTAGGGATTCGAGGGAAAACTAATAATTCAACAAGTCAAATTATCTAATTAGGTTGTTTGAAGAATATATGTTTTTGGTTAGCCATTGGAACTCAAAGGATGATTTCAAAAGCAAGAGAACTTTCTCAAGAGCTGGCGCGCTGAAAACGTAATAAATATTATTTTCTTCAATAAATGTTATTTTCCACTAAATTCCATAGGTAATTTATGCTACAAGTAATTTTTATTATTTTATTATTCAATAATCTAACTAAGTATACATATTGTCAACGAAAAGACACTAAAATAAATTATTTAGCGTCGTGATTGGTTTTGTCAAAAGAATCAATAATTAGCTATTCGCTATAAATTATCTGCTAAACATATTAATAGAATCGACTAATATCTCAATTGCGATGATGGCCAATAATGACTAATTTAACCCTAGAAATTGGTTGTTTCTCTCTTTCACACAAAAGCAGGTACACAGTGGTGTGGTGAGAGTAGTATTTATTAGTTGCACCCAAAGTTAGAGGCAATGGAGCCTTACAAAAGGCCTTAGGCCCTTTGGACAAACAATATTCTATAAATATTCACATTCAACCCCTTCATTTTTTCACCTTTCATCAAAGCTTACACAAAACATATTCACACTTTTCCCTTCTCATTTTCTTTTTTCACTTTGCCATACATTGTTCGCACTCATACACACACATATATATATATATATATATATATATATATATATATAATAACATTGATATAGTAATAATTTGAATTGAATCTTAGAGGATCACAAAAGTCTGGTCGCGAGCTTCTATATCATGGATTGGAACGGTAATTTCAGAATGCCTTTCGCTTCTCGCCCGGAAACTTCTTTCGGCTTTCTCTACAACTATAACTATGATCAGTTCCAAGGTTAGTTCTTCACAACTATTTGTCCTCTTCTTTTTCTTTTTTTACTTTTTAATTTTGTTTTGATGCTTTAGCAAAGCTTGTATATATTGCTTAATTTGTTTCAAGATACAAGAAACAGAGCTACTTAAATTTCATGCAACCAAAAAAAAAAAGAAAAAAAAGTATACATTGATTAACAAAAAAGCCGGTTGACTGGGTATTTTGTTATAATATTCATTTAANATTTTCAGGTTTTGATCATACCAAGCAGCCATTAATGCCGAGCTTGACTCAGCAGGCAATTTTACCGACTGGCATGCTCGACCAGAAAAACATCAACAACACTAATGGCAACAATATGAGCCTTATTTACGGGCAAGACCAGAAGAAAAAACGACTAAGCACCGAGCAGCTGGAATCGCTCGAAAACAGTTTCCAGGAAGAGATTAAGCTCGATCCCGAGAGGAAAATGAAGCTGGCTAAGGAACTCGGGCTTCAGCCACGTCAGATTGCAGTCTGGTTCCAGAACAGGCGGGCCCGCTGGAAGGGAAAGCAGCTTGAGCGCTTGTACGACGCGCTTAAGCAGGAGTACGATGCCGTGTCCAGGGAAAAGCACAAGCTCCAGCAAGAGGTACAATACATTAACTGAATTAATTAAGTTGGCTTAATTTGGTTAGTTAAGTAACAAAAAATTGAAAAAAGTAGTACCTTATTTTAGAATTTGGAATTAATTTTATTGTCTAATTGATATGTGCATACAAAAAATTATGACAATAGTAAGGAACATTAAATGATTGGGCTTCCAGCTTGATGAATTTAATTAATTATATGGCATATTTATGTGCATATATTGGATCGAGATGAATGATGGATCTTATTATACATAATTTGTTGGATTTTTTTTGTACTTATCCATTTATGAATGTCTAGCATGTATTTATCACTTGGATGTTGTTGCGGATTCTATCATAGATTCATTAGTAATAGATTTTTATTTTGGCCCTACTTTTCACTTATAACTTCTCTAAACAAATCTTGATGTCTATAATTTATTATTA